TGTCTTATAATTTTTCTGTAAACTTAAGCGTTTTCAAGTTATACACAATTTAAAACTGAAAAAAAGGCAAAAGTGCGATTTTCAAGGCTCAAAAACACAACAAGAAAAAATTTAATTTTTGTATTCACCAAGAACCTAAATTCAAGTTCAAACCTTGTTCTATCATTTCCTAATAGGTATTTTAAGCTTATTTAAAAAAATTGTTTATAAAAATTTAAGCAACTCGCCTGGGACCTCTTGAACCTTATTTTGGGGTACCTATCTAATGAAAGTCATCATGTAAAAAAATCTCGTATGAATATTTTTCGAACGAACCCTGAGCTTTTCGCCTCGTCTATCTAGTCCTTTCGTGGGACGATGATCAAAGCTACTTATTGATTTTTTTATTATTCCCACCATAGGCGTGGCCAGGTTTTTTAGTGTATGTTCTTGTTTTTAAAAGTTGTACTTCAGCTTCTAATTCTGAAAAATTCAAATCAAAATGTTCTGAGGTATATTTTAAATAATTGATTTCTTAGTTCATCTATATTTAAAGATATGGCTATTAAATAAATAGTTTATTTTTTTTGGTCAAATTTATCGTTTTATGACTTAATCAGTTAGTCTAAAAGTGGATAAAATATAAAGAGTCTCACTTCTTTTTTTATCATTGAGTCTAAATTAATGTCCAGCATTATTATCTAATCTAGTTGAAACTTTACGTTTTCTCTGCACCCCAGTGTGTGTGTGTTTCGCTTTCGAGTCTCCCCCGACTATAAATTTACTGAGCCCCGACAATGTGAGCTATACATTGCAGATATGTTAAAGGGCCATGGCGTTGCATTCACTTGAACCATTGCTGCTTGTATTTTTTCTGTTGCATATTTCAACAATTCATGATGTAATAAGCAGCTGCAATGATTACCGCCGAGCCATCATGAGCTGTACCATCGGGGTGAGGTGTGCTGTATGTGGTATAGAGCGTAATATTGAACGTAGTAAGATCGGTAAAGTGGGTTTCTGAAATAATCAGAACATCGACTTTATTCAGGTTTAGAAAGTAATTACTTTATGCTTATGGTTTAGCAGGCCATTAGCGTTCCATATAGCAACTCTGTTTAAGACTTAGACAAGTATGTTTAAGAACTTCTTTGGTTAATGACTTGTTAGAAAGTTTAATATCATACTATTTTTACTAGTGAGTTGCGAGAATATGTTTTTGAGCTCATTTAGGAATGTAAATAGATGTTCTTTATTAGTTTTAGCTTCTAATTCGTGATTGGGTTACTGTCACGTTTGCATATGATCTTTGATGGTTTTGTAGAGTTGTGTTTAGCTGATTTGTTTCAGTAAATACATGTGGACTATTGAATGTTGTTCTTTGAGGCTGTTGGTTTCCTCTTTTCGGCATATGTTTTCTACTAGTTCCCCGTAGACTACACAGCCCTTATAGTTAGCAGGATGATCTTGTTTACATAGTGCACACTTAGCTAGAGTGTTTCTAGGATTTTACAATCTTTTGTATCATGTTGTTCTCCGCATTTAACGCTTAGTGCGGTTTAGTGCAATATGTTTTACTATGGCAGTGTGCTTGACATCGCATGCATTAGATAATTTAGTTTCTCTTATTTGGTGCCTCGACTGCTATTCTGGTGTGACATAAGAATTTTAGGTTAAATATGTCTTCGTTATTACTGTTGGATTCAAGGTCTATGAAAAATAAAGATAAGGGTTTCTTTGTTTGTCTGTGTCGAATGTTAGTTATATTGCGAACTTTATGGCAGGCTTTTTCTAGTACCTTTGTTATATCTGTTGTGGGTATGGAGTGATGTATATGTCGTATTACCACTTTGAAGGTACGTTCTTCCTTTATTTGGTAAGTGTGGTGAACAATTTCTTCTTCTCATAAATGTCTTAATAGTTTACGATATGTATCTATTGTATACGTGGTAATCTTGACAGTGTTGTTTGGCTGAGTTCTGATATAGTAGGTTTCTTCCTCCAAAATCAAAGATATCGACTATATCTATAAAATTTTTGACTCCATATACGAATATTGGAAGTGGTTTTATTAGTTTCTGTTGTTTTTCTATTTCAATGTATTCAGGGCTTCCCCCGCTTGTTAATGCACTGTACCGATTTTGTATTTTTGTTGGAGGTAGGCTTAGAATTAGGATCGTTATTTTGTTTTGTAAATTTACGTTTTTTGACTACTTTTCATGAGTTTTTATTTTGGGTTTCTTGATCGTCGCCTTCGCTAGACTTTTTCTGGATGTGTAGTTGCAAGTCTTAGCTTTGTGTTTGAGGCCTGCTCTACAGTAGATGGGTGGCTTTGTAGGATGGTAGATTGTAGTAAATTGGTTGGGGTTGCGGTGAAAATTGTTGTGGTTGTAGTGGAAATTGTTGTGGTTGTAGTGGAAATTGTTGTGGTTGTGGTGGAAGAGCGAACTGATTTTGTGGAATGTTTGGTAAGGAGTATTTGTGAGTTGCCAGTATATTTGGTTTGGTGCATGTTCGGATGTGTATTCTAGTGGCGAGTATGCTACTTTTACTTTTACTTTTAGTAGCTTACCTGCTACTTCTGCTGATACAACAATAGACACTGATTGTTTATGTTCCGTGTGTGTATGAATTGTTCATTGTAGACAACAGAATTTGGTACGCCACTGTCACTTAATTGTTTATTTTAATAACTAGAATTTTAATAACGTCATTACCCTACGATATTCAAGTTAACACTAACATTCATATTTAAACAATTTTTAATAATGTCGTTTGCTAAATTTTTGTTAAAATTTCGACTTTTCTATAAAGATTAGTCAATTTCAGCTCTTGTTAATTTCATCTCTTCAATTAGTCAATTGTTAATTAACGTAAGAGTAACGTAAAAGTAATTTAAGAATGGGGCTACCTTAGCTGCTAAGGGTCGTAGGACCTCTGTTTTTTTATCTAAAAGTTGTGTTTTTTAATAAGCTTTTCGAATATTTCTTGCGATTTATTTTGAACTAAATTCTACTGAGTGATTTTAAATGTGTATAAGCTTAAAAAGTGCCATTTATTATTAAATCATTTCGTGTACATAAATGTAATTTTTAAACTCTTTCCATGTTTAACAAATCAACGTATTGTAACAGTTGAAAAATACTGGCAAAATTAAATGCAATAATGCACTAAAAAATGCACCATATGTTCCCCCAAAATGCCCCCTGTTCGTACACAGAATTACAAATTAGGTGAAACTGGGAGACATACTTACTCCCAAAACTAAGTTTTCCGTAAAAATTGCCGAAATAGACTTATATCAAACATTATGAATCAAATGAATACAGATTCAGATAAAAAAATATAGAAAGACAAAATTAAAGTTGAACTTCCAAACATATCAACAATAATTACCAAAAATAACCAGTAAGTAATATTGCTTCAATATCAAATATGGATAGTAAATAAGGACATTAAAACCTTGAGTTAGGCAGATGACCCGGCGTTGGTTGCCAAAAAAGAAGACGATCTACAACGACTCCTAGATCAATTTAACCCACAGCCAGATCGTTTAACATGATGATCAGCTGTTAACACACAATGTATAACAACATCAAAGACACCTGCACGGTTGTAAACTCGAGGTGAATCGACGAAAGGATTAATTATCCAACAAGAGATGAACTTGAAGTACTTAGTCATATAACTTTCAGGCTATGGGAATGTTGAATCAGAAGTAAGAGAACAAACAACGAGAGTAACTATCTGGCTATCAATATAGCCAGAAGGCTGATAGCCAATAGCTGGCTATCAAAACAATATAATACAGTATGGCATAATAAAAACATTACCATATATTGAGAGTATGCAAAGCTGCTATAAGTCCTTTAAGGACATACTCCGCAGAAACTAGATCAGAAACACAAAAACAAAAAAATGGCCTAGCTGGAAAGGCTCGTCTGGATAGAGAAACAAATGAATACACAAGAGATATATGCGAGATAGACTATATTAATGGTTGGGTGCTAAACAAGAAAAAAGACTGAAATGAACATATTAGCAGAATGGAAGAACGAAGAATGGTGAGAATCTCTCGAGAGAAATCGCCAACGCGATAAAGAAGTATAATCGGCCGACTTCGAAAAACGCTAGAACAAAAATCTGAATGTTGACACAGGTGGATGAAGTTTAAACAGCCGATTGCTCTAGAATAAAAAAGTAACAAAATGATCCGGAAATCATCTATATATAAAATCTATTGCAATTCGATACCAAATATATTACCATACATTGAATATTCCAAAAGCATATTTCTTATGTGCTAGAACTGTCAATATACGTAGAAATTCAAATAAACTACGACAAACGACAAGATCGTAGTAGTCATATTATCAATGATTCTTCTCAGCTGTATGACCTAGCATCTAGTCTAAATAACAATCAAAACCCAATAAATTTGAATAGAATATGAGGAAGTGATCTAAACAGTAAATAAATCATAAAAAGGCAAATTGAAAGAGAATTAACGATAAATTTGGAGTCAAAAAAATAATAACAAATCGATTCATAGAAAAGTTTCTGTTATATATTGTAAAGGATATAAAATTTCTATACTTTCATATATATTTAATCGTTTAGCTACTATGTACGTATTATGAAAAATTTGAAGGTTATTAAAGACAAAAATCTAAGGTTTGTTTATTTGAATTTCGATGTAACCTTTTTCTCAAAACACAGATTCCTTAACATAATAATTTCAATTACCTATACAGATATCGTAAAACTATCAAATTTATATTTGAAGACGATCTATAAAATATAAATAAAGTATTGGATGGTCGTACCACTCTGGCTATTAAGTCAATAAATGCATAAGGTCTGTGATAGCAATGCAAAAAAGGAATTGATTGTAATAAGGAAAAATCAAAACAGATTGATCAAAATATATAAAAATTGAAACAGATCAAAACTCTATATTGTTTTAAAAAGAGAAGAATTTTAAATTATGAATATCGTAAATATATAAAAATTATACTCACCAATTTTTCTAATAAATAACTGGCAGGGAAAACAAACGGAACGTATAAAACCATATATATTATGGAAGTCCAATCTACCCACATCGAAGATATCCCATAATACTTAACCACCACATCGTTTATAATCGAAAATTGTATCCATTGCATGGCATTTACCGCAGAATAGAAGACAAATATTCCTAGCACTATCCATCTTACTCCGTACACTTGTATTTTTTCTATTGTCGGCAACTGCTTGGAGAAGTCCACATCCCCGCTATTCATGTTTTGCTTTAACTTCACCACGTACTATATCTAAAATAAACATATTTTTGTTATCATTTTCCGTTTTAGTTTGACAGTGTCGTCGATACGAAAGCATTGCGTAAAAAATATTTAGCTCCTTGTTGTTAACAAAGCGATATAATCCACCATTATGCGGTTTTAAATTGTAGTTATCGTATAATGAATTTTTAGTAAACGATTTTTTAATTTTTAGAAATGAATCATTCACAGCATTAAATCATTTAAATTATGTGAAGATTAGTGTATTTTCCATCTGATTTAACATTTAAAATATATTTTGCCATACAGCGTTGGTCAATAAATAAATAAATAAAACGTAAATAAAAAAAAATTCATTATAAAAATGTTTCATTTTCCATTATTCTATTTTTAATTATAAAATATGTTTTTCTATAGACTTTTTTTAATTGCCGTATTGCCAGATTCCAGTAAGAGCCTAAGAAGGTATCCATTGAATTGTGACAGACAACGGCGGGGGAAATCTTTTTTGGACATCTACGTCACGGAACAAGACACCCTGGCATCTTTGGCCAAGTAGGATACTAAGCCAGAAGACCCCAAGGTAGTGCCGGATTAACCGTGTTTCGGCTAAAACCTTAACCACCGTTCCAGAGAGGTGGTCTTGCCACTCAATAAACAATTAAAATAAAAAAGAAACTAAAAATTTAAAAATATCCATACCTATTACCATAAATCAAAAAATGTTTAGATGTTAGGCCCTAAACTAATAAATAATATTGACTATAAATTTTTAGATCCCTGGATCAATTTCCTCCTCTGTCCTCCTGCTCCGTTTTCTTCAACACCCCAGAAATCAAAAAGTGTACTTCTCTCCTCTCAACATTATGTTAACAATGTTTCATTCATCCAGCCCAAAACCCATTCGCCTCTCGAAATCTCCCATTTCATTTGCCCATCTCTAGCAGTTAAAAATGTGGGCAGGAGCGTCCGGTACCCCACAAACAGTACAGTCTGCCGACACAGATTTGCCTATTCTATTTGTGAAGGTGCCAAAACTACCATGTCCGATCAGAAACTGCGTCAGGAAGTAGTTTAGTTTCCTGAACTTACATTCCCACCACGGTGTTAGATCGGAAATAAGCTCCTTCGTCCACTTGTCTTTCCACTATCATTCGCCCATTCTCTCTACCACTCTACTATCGTTCTTTCTCTCTCATTCTCATGTTTACATCCATCCTCCTCGCATACATCCTCGCTCGCTCTTTACACAACAAAACGATCGGTATCACCGCTCCAATGACATATAGAGCCTCATTCTAGACTGTCCTATATGCGCTAGATACCCTGAGGAGCATTCGCCTTTGCGAAGTCTCCATCAGCTTAGCGTATTTCGCAGTGTTTAGTACACTACACCACACAGGGGCAGCGTAGGTTACTACCGACTGAAAAACTCCATTTAGCACCTTTCTTTTGGTGCTTCCTGGGCCTCCAATGTTTGGCATCAATCGTATCAACGCCTCCAGATTTCGATTCGCCTTCTCTACTGTCTTTTGGATGTGTACTCCGAACCTTAGACCTTCCGACAACCAGACTTCCAGATATTTAATTGATTTAAACCGGTGCAACCTCCACACCTTCCACTATAAAGCGAAGAGAGGATTTCTCCCGGTTTCCTTTGAGAACTAACACCTCAGTTTTCTAAGGCGCTAGCTGTAGATCGTTCTCTCTGATCCACCTACTAATGCGACGCAGGGCTGTGTTAGCCGCATTAGCCATGTCCGTTTTCTGACTCGCCTTCGCAAGCAGTGCGAGATCATCGGCATAAGCTACAAGAGTGCATCCCCTTGGCATCTGTAGCCTCAACACCCGTCGTACAGGACATCCACAGGATGGGACCTAGTACTGAACCCTGCGGAACACCCTGCGACAAACTGATGCTGGTATATTTTTCTCTTATGGACCTGTCAGTAAAGTATCTGTCAATTACGTTGACCAGGTATTCACTAACTCCCAACTCTCTAAGCCTGGACATGATTTTTTTCCATGATGCCGTATTAAAGGTATTCTTGACGTCGAGCAGGATGAGAGCCATCCATCTCTGTGTATCCTGCGTGACTAAAGATGATACTTCTGTGACCGCATCTATGGTGGACCTTTTGGCACTAACACCATATTGGCGATCGCTCAGCGCATGCTTTTCTTCTAGCTCTCTCTCAAGTCGGTCTTTTATAAGCTGTTCGTACAATTTAGCTATCGAACTAAAAAGGCAAATTGACCGAAATCGTACCTCTTCCTCTTGACCTTTACCTTTCGGTATAAGAACAACCTTAGCTTCTTTCAACATTGTTGGAAACTGCTGTTGTTGAAGCAGTTTGTTTAGCAATCTCAGTAAAATCTGCGGGTATTTTACTGCGGCGAGTCATACTGTCTCCGGCATGACTTCATCTATGCCAGGTGCTTTTCAGATCTTCATCCGTCCAACACCCTCACCGAGTTTCAACTCAGTGAAAGGTTCCGCATCTACGAAACCAATAATCCTTTCACGCCTATCCTTCACCTGAGGAAAGAGTTCCCGTATTAAACGGAGTTTCTTCTCCTCAGGCAGGGGGTAGGATATCTTTTTCCCCTTTAATTCAGTACAGACAATCTTGAGGCCCTGCCCCCAGGACCATATGGTACCTTTTGCACCATATATTGGAAAAAACTTAATTTTATTGCACGCTCACACAAGATAATGCACGCTCACACGTCGCACGCTGTGTAAGAGATTTTTATTACAAGTGAGTACAATAACAATGAATTGACCAGCGTGTTCTCTAGAACTAAACCCGATAGAGCATGTGTGGTACATGCTAGGCAGAAAATTTCCTGCAGGTTTCTGCACAGGAGCATACGTTCCTGCTATTTACAACAGAAATGAAGTAAGAATTGCTTTGATTGAGGAATGGGAGAGACTAACCCAACAAGCTCGATAGCCTTATCAGAAGTATGAGACGACGAATGATTAAATTTATTGTGATTAAAATCCATATTTTGTTCGAGTCTGACATATTTGTGTTTTATTTTATCTTAAATAAGTTTCACATTATACACCATTGTAATACAAATTTAAAGTACTTTACCAAAATTCGTATTACTATTTACTTCGTAAATTAATTAGAGAGGAAATACTCAGACTTTATGGTTGTTCCTTTAAATATGCCGGTGTGTGTACATCCAATATACAACTCCTTCGTTGTCGTGCAGTCCCGATTACCTGACACCCATACCAGTTTGACACTGATAGGTTTCGCTACTCTATCTAGTTATTCTTAAAATTTTCACACTGATTTAGAGACTACCGTACTGCTACTAGGAGCTCCCATAGTTGCTTGATTATCTGCGAATACATTAATCCTCTCAAGTTCAAATGACTGCATGTTGATTGCTCTTGCTCAATGTAAGATTGCATTAGTACAGAGGTGTGTTCTCCTAACGGAATAAAAATGCTTACCCTTTTGCAGTTTTATACCAATCTTGTAACAGTCTTGTAGTTAGTCTATTAGGTGTAACCTTTCACTCTGAGTTATTTATTTCTTCTATCCCATTCCTCTCGTGGCAGATGTCTACCTGGAAAGGTACTTTGGGCCTGTACCGGGGTACCATATAATCAGAAGTCAACATCATAAGGTCGAACTAATGTTATGTTGCTAATGCAATCATTACATTAACCCAAGATACTTAACATCACTCACCTTATATACATTTGTACCATTCAGGCTTAGAGAACATAATCACTTGAAATTCTTATTTTGGATAAATTTTATAATTTTGGAATTCTGAGGACTTAACATTAAGCCTTATATTTGATGCGTGTTGTGTAAATACAAAGCTCCTGGTGGTTCTGGACAAAGTCAACTGCTGCCAACTTATGGTATTCCTACGATATTTGCATAAAAGTGATATAAGGGGGAAACTACTATTTTTAAGAGAATTGAGAACAATCTCGAAAGTATATGTTATGATGACCGTATTTGCTGATTGTTTCACTTCTCAATGTCTTTTTACCTTTTTCGCACCCCTATTATGATCTTTTGTCTGTTGTACAGAGGTTTTAGCATTGCGCAAACTGAAAAATCGATTTATTTTATGGTAGTCAGACAAGTATTGCCGCTCTTTGTGATGATTTGTTTTCAGCCCATTTAACGCCTTTGTTTCAAACAGAGTTTAGATGACTTTCGAAGAAAAATATGATCTTTCTTTTGTTTGTTGCTTCTGCTTATCTGTTGTTCATTCTGTCATCGAGCTTGCAGATAAGGTTATTTTTAGAGACCGCAAAAAAAACTTGCATGAATTGTTTTTAAATGTTAGTCTTAATATGGCATCTCACATACCTTTCAAACCTACGGAAGAATATAAATTCAAATTTTTTCAATATGTAACATATATATTGAATATTTTCTTAATATCCTTACTTCATACATTAAGGATTGTTTTAACCGAATAGCTATGTTAAAACTATAAAAGATTTATATTTTTGAACTTCAAGCCTGTCGTAAAGTGTAATTCGTTCCAGAATGTCGATCGTTGACTTAAATACCTATTATTCCTTTCATGATTTACAACTTGTTTTATTAAAATGGCCTGATCGACAGATTTACACCTTATTTTATTAAAATGGCACGTTGTCCTAGAGAAAATACGGACGTGAAACCTTCTATCGTTAACGGGCAGTAAATTCTCATTGGGCGATACAGTTCTGCAATAGTTAAATACTTCCCCAATGGTTAAATTCATAAATTCATTGATCAACTACCTGAAACAATGCCAGAAAAAATATTGGAGATCAAAACATCAAAATATGTCTTTAGTCACATGGATTTGACTGTATTTCAGGTAAAATATTATGCCACTTATCCAACCATTGGAAAGGAGTTCTACTACATATTTAGAAAGGAAGGACTACATATTTATGCGAACTTGCTTTTTCGATTTGATTGGAAGTAAAGATGAAAAAGACAAAAGTTTTTGATGATGAT